CTGGTAGCTTTTCCGATTCCCTGTTATTATGTCTTACTGACTGAAGCCTATTTACCAAGTAGGATGTTATCATGCTGCAAGCGAGAGGATTTTTTTATGGACTGGTATCACTGCAGCGATTTTGAGACAGTCTGGGAATGTTGTGGTCCTTATGCATTCATTTATTAATCTAGTTATTGGTGAAATGATGGTGTCTTTCATAGATTTAATAATATTGACGCTTATGTTATAACAATCTTTTGAATTGCTATTTTTTAGTTTGCTAATGGTGTCTCTAACAGCTACACTGGAGACTTCTGAGAAATTAAAATATTTAGAATTATTACAGTGCATGTTGCAGTTCTTAATAATTAAGTCAATGGGATCTTGAGTAGCTATAGGAAGTGTTTTTATTGAATTTGGCCCGATATTAGTAAAGAACTTGTTGAAATCGTCATTTGAAATTTCACAGTTTGCCTCACTACCTATCAATGAATTTTTATTTCGGTTGTTATTTATTACTTGCCAAATTGCTTTACTTTTATTATTCGATTTATCTATAAAACTCTTGGTGTAGTTTACTTTTTTTATTTTAATTGTTTCTTGATAAAGGTGTCGACATTTATTTCTAGCCTTTCTAGTCACGTCCGTTTGAACAATTTTATGAAACTCGTCAAGAAATGATAATTCTTCGCGTATTTTTCGCAATTCGTCATCAAACCACTTAATGTCCATTTTGCTATGGTTGGTTTGTTTCAGGATTTTTTCTGGGAAGGCAAGATTCATGTTGTCGATAATTTCCTTTATAAACAATGTAAACTTAGTATTGATATCAAGGGTTTTATCGTCAACAAAGTACCAGTCAGCTTTACTTATATTATTGTATAATTTGCACTTGCCTAGTTTAGTAATCGGGCGGCACTTATAAGTAACATGTTTGTTCTTAGCGTCAGATACAGTTAATTTGAAGTCTATACCTAAATGATCAGACATTAGGCTATTGAACGGTTTTACACTGTAGCTTAGAGTGTGAATGTTGGTAAAAATGTTATCAAGAGTATTATTGCCCCTGGTCGCGAATTTTACGATGGGATACAAGCCAAATTCAGTTAAGGTGTTACAAAGTTTTAGTTCTAGCATGCTATTAGTGTTGAAATGTATGTTAAAATCTCCACTTAGGATAACATTGTTTTTGACTACATCTATTGTATCCAGTACATCAACAATAATTTCACAAAACAGATTAAAATCACCAGATGGCGGCCGGTATATATTTATAACAATAAGTTTGCAAGAGTTGACTAGTGATGCTGAGATTTCACAATGATTTTCAATAGACATATTTTCCAGATTATGTAGAGTAGTATATTGTAAATTATGTGCTGCAAATAAGAGGGAACCTCCATAATTACTCAACTTACGGCAAAAACTGGATGCTACGTGCATATTTTCGATAGAAAGGTTGTCCACTTCCGCGTCGTTTAGCCAATGTTCGCAGATAGCCGCCAACGAGAAATTTCCCTGGTGTAACAGTAGTTCAACTCTTGGAGTTTTGATCTAATTGATTGCGAATTAAGCACAAGGATTCTTAGCTCTTTAGTTGTTGTTGTCGGGGTGGGTGAAAAAACCTGTTAATTCGTGTTCCCTTAGGCCATATTTCCGATTTCATAACGGTTTCCAACTCATCAAAGTCCAAAGTTAGTTACAATGTTTGTCTATGTAACTTTACAATGACAAATCACAAATAATGGGTTCGGAGGGCTGTTTCGTCCATTTATACAAAATTTTGTTCCTCTAATGCCACAATATTTTCCAGAATTTTTCTTTACATTTTCGATTGGCTTATTTTTTATTTGTACCTGAGAACCCAATGAAGATGACATTAATAACTGAATACTACAATGACTTCAGGGAATGCCTAACAACGGCTTTTGCGAAAATTCAGGTAAATATGTACTAAATTCATTATTGTTAAAATATTTCGTAGGGGTGTATTTATCTAGGCAATTATACTAACTAATCGCGAATTTCATTAACTTTGTATTTTTTTATAATGTGAATATGTATTTTGTTCCATTTCCGGAAGCGCCACTGACCCTTTTGGGTCTCTTTACCTGATATTGTAAATACAAATGTAAATTCAGTACTTCTGTAACCGTCCTGTATTTAAACATCGAAACCCAACGCTGTCTATTATTTCGCACACAACAAAACAAAGGTCCTTCGAGCAATATCAAAATACAATTCGGTACTCATCAAAACCGTACAATCATGGTCGTATCAACTGGATTACAAAAAACATTGGTACTACGAGCCGAGTTTCACAAAACATATTTCACTTTGAACAATATTGGGTTTATGTAATAAGCGATGCAATGTAATACGTAAAGTTGTTGTACGGTAATAAATAAAATCCGCACAGGAAAGACAAATGACACTAATTAGTGTGACTTTTAAAATCATTGTTTTTCTGCATTACGTCTTTTTAAATTGTTGGTGTTCAAATAATTCATACAATTTAAAAGATTATTTGAAACTGTAATGTGAGAAAATATAAGTAGTAATAACCAACTAAGTTTATATGGCTGAACCATGTATAAACAAAAAAAGAAAATTTGGTAAAAAACGAGTGTCTAACATGATAAAGAAAATTAAACTGCAAAATATTTAACATAAAATTGTGTTTAAATTCTACGAGGAAGAGGCGAATATGAAAGTCTGTACCTGCATTCAGCTATTGCTATTGTAATAAAAGGGATAATCCCCTGCCCAATTCTCCGCCCTGACCAGGCTTCTTACTGACAAATACACGGCGGGGTTAAGAAACTAATGAAAGAATAAATATCTTTTTGAACGAGTACTGAATCATTTCTCAAATATTTTCAAATCCGACCTTGCACTTTAGCAGGTACGTCAACAAACCCGATTCCCTTTGGGGTACCGGGAAGGTACTGAAAAACTACCCGCAAAGTTAAGTTCCAGACCAAAATACAAAAAAGACAAAATTCATATATTCACAACTTTACATCGCTGAAAATTTTACACAGATCTCCGACCCTTCTGCTGTCGTCATCCACTCTCAAATGACATATTTATGACATTAATTTTCTTACCTACCTATCTATCGGCATTATGCAAGTACCTATAAAATGTACGTTATATTGTGGATAAGATAGCCACAATCACAGATCAAAATATAACCTCACAGGAAAAAAACACGATTTTACTATAAAAATACATCTAATCAAATAATTGAATTAATAACTTCAAGTATTTAACAGACCCTATTTTGAGATGTGAAAACTTCGTAAAATAGAGACTAAAGTATTTGAAATTTCCACTTTCATACTTCAAGTAATTCAAGAGTATTTAAAATACTGAGTGAAGTACTTGGAGCAAAGTACTTGGCAAAATCAAGTACTAAACTCAAGTACATTTTAGAAATACTCCAAGTACCAAGTACCAAGTACCTAAATATAAAAGTACTTCAAGTAAAGTACTTGAAGTACTTAAAGTACTTGAAGTATTACTTCAAGTACTTTTACTTGAAGTACTGAACAGCTCTGATTACAACTGGCCCCGTCTCCAACTATGTAGCCTATAAAGCCTCCGGAAAAAGTGTTTTGTTCCATTGGTGTCCAACCTGCCTTAACCCATACACAACAGGGTGCATTCTGGGCCCATAACCTGTTGTTGTAACTTTATTATATCAAAATAAAATATTAAATTGACATTCAAAATTCGTCAACAACAATTAAACGACCGCGTTCCAGTCACTGAGATCTCGATGAATATTTTGTTCAAAATAAACGAGGTGTCTTCTACTTTCCCCCTTTTCTGAAATCTGTCAATAGTTTACCAAAAATTTCAAATTTTTTCAACAAGGTGGTACTACAGCCAATGCACTAATCACTTCACCCACTTGAAGTTTCCAACAACGGTGTGAAAATGTACCGTCGTAATAACCTCGGTGAAAAAAAACCCACTTTACTTAACGTCCCCTTATAAATCTTCATTTCTAACTCGTTCGTCGATTCCTGCAATAATAAAAGCGTTTTCTGCGCTCATTTCTCCATCAAGCGACTAGAAAATGCACAGATACGCCGCCTCTTTCTACCTGTCCCAGCAAAAACACCTCATTCATTACCTCGTAATTGCATCCTTGTGTTTTATTCCGCAATTTCTGCGGCAAAGCAAGCTACACAATTCTAAATATTTATCGGCGACTGAATGCACTCTGTAGAATTACAATCTATAATTCAAGCTATTTTTTCCACGCCGAGAGCTGAATTCTCCTTTGAAATTTTAATCGACCTGCACCGCACATTTTCATCGCTCGGTGATTACTTTTTAATGGACAGTCGTGCTTGTCTGACAGCCGTATTTAGCAAACACGAAAGAACAACAACGCAACGAAATTCAAACACTGCTCCTTCGACAAACAACTGCGCTAGGTGGAGACACGTGAAAGGTAAATATAAGCGTCGCAGTGAACGAATCTGGAAAAAATAAAAACGTGCGTGGGGACAATTAGAGTACGTAGTCGACGGATTCGGCAAGACCGTCGCACAATTTACTAAATTGTATTTGAAGAGTTTGCCTGGAGAAAATCGCTTCAACTTATTTTTATCGAGCTTCTATAATAAATAAAAAACATAAGTATAGCCGAAGTGTATGGAAGTCCACTTCAGTAGATGAAAATTGCATTTCACAATAGATATATAAGTTTGACGATAGATTACGCCATCAACACATGAAGCAATAAGTATGCGTCAAATCGTGTTTAATGGGCGACGATTTTTCCCGCTCATTACAGCGTTCCTGATCCCGGTGGCATTTTTAGTTCCTGCGGCTCTTAACCGCCGTGTTTACATCCGCGGCTCCACGTTCCCGTTAAGCGGCTTAGTAGTTTTTCGCGTCGCATTCCACGTCGCCCGCCCTCCCCTATCTGCTCTTCCGTACGTCGGCAATTTTGTGCATCATCGCCTGCAAGCCCTGCCAAAAATAGATATCTACTTTACCTTTCGCTGGCTTCTCCTTCTCCCCGACGGATCTGTCCGGCTTGGCTGAACACGTATATCCTAGACGCTTCCTTGTACCATTTCACGCTGTGCAGAACGCCGCACTGGTTCACGTCGACCCTGCACGGCAGCATCACATTCGTCCCCACAAGTGCACGAACTTCCGTCTCCTTCGCCACTGCAAGCAAACGAGTCTTATTGAAAACAAGCCAACTTTCTGCTGGATAACGGGAGAAGTTTTCCAATTATTGCTTCCGGGCAAAACACCTTGCGAGTATGAAGTTGGACAAAGGCGGCTGCGGGGTCAATTAGGGGCGGCCGGTGCGGTGGAGGGGTGGGAAAAGGATTCGTTACGACGCAGTGATGTCGCCAGCATTCTCAGAACGATTGCTTGAAGCTTAATTCTGAGGATTGAACACTGTTAAAAATGTCATTAATAAAGAACAAAAATAAAGCGGGTCCCAATGCGAACCCTGCAGTACACCTGAAGATATAAAGACTGACTATAGTTTGATATATAAATATGAAAAATAACTTTCCTTCCAGATATTCGAACCCAGGTCAGAACTGAGTGATGAATTCAGCCGGACCTGGTGGTCCGACAATACAAAACATTATAATAATGAGCGGATAGAAACCTAACGTTCTGAGTATAAATTTGTGTTCCGTGAGACGTAACCTAGGTCTGCTACGTTAGAGAGGTAAAACAGAAAAAATTGCGTTCATCAATCACCGGAGTGAATTACAATGGGAAATTTCTCGGCTGAATTGCGAATAAAAGTATAAAAAACCAAGTTTCCATTCAACGGAATAGATCGTACGATAAAAACGGGCAGAAATATCGCGGTAAAACAATGACGTTTATTAAAAAGCGGACTAATGGAGTGAATACGGTTGTAGTCAACGACATTATGGGAATTTACATTGTTTCGGTTATACCCGGGGATACGTTATTACTTTATAAACGACGAGAAACGAAAGAGAATTCATAATTAGAAGAATAAAAGCAACGGGTGGGATGGGTGTCTGTTGACTTTTCATCGCCGAAATCGATAAAACACAAAAAGACGTTTGATCCGAAGCCCGGATGATGCGAGTACAGATGTCTAATTAACAATTTACGAGGAAAATATCCGTGAGCAGTAAAACGGCAGCTGCAGTTACGAATACTGCAACAATGTGAAAATTTTAACTCCTCGAGCAAAAGGAGCTGACGATACAAATGTGGCACTTAAATAACGACACATAAAAAGAAAAGGAAGAGGTTAGCTAGACGAGCTTTTTAGCGATTAAAGCTACCAGTGCTAGATTCTCACAATACACGATAAATCGTGCATGCATGTGCATTAGGGTAATTTCATCCGTGTAAATATTGCAATTTCAGCGTGAATTCCACATGGATAAAACCCACCAAGCGAAAAATGTATTCTTTCCAGGCCAACGTTTTGCTGCTTGAATCGCGCACTTGTAACAGCTAATCAAAATTTATGTAAACGGTAAGTAGCTCGTTACATTGTGCTCAAAACACAAAAAAGTTTAGAGTTTTATTTAATTTCGTCCAAGGCGCAAAGGTATTATTTGAGCGTGGCCACAGTTATAAAAATTAAATTCAAATTCACTACAATTTTTTGCGACCAATAAATCTTCGATTTTTGTTGAAAGAAATCTTCAATATAAAAAAAATTAAACGACGTTCCGGCAAGAAGAGAATACATCAGAACAGAAAACAAATCTCCAAACAGCATGTCCAAAGCAAAATATTCTCACTTGCCCTGTCCTCAAATAAGGAAGAAATGAATTTTTATTTTAACGCCTCCACCATTTTTACATGAAATTTGAAAGTTGTTCAAATTCTCCTGGAAAAGTGTTTATCTAAACTGAAATTTTCTCAGAACTACAAATCTGTCGTAATTTTTCCTATAGGTCGCCAAATAAACGAAAAACGAATTTTTGTTGGGCGCCTCCACCATTTTTAGATGAAAGTCGAAAGTTGTTGAAATCCTTTGGGGAAAGCATCTATCCACATGGAAATTTTCTCAAAGTCACGAATGTGCCACTATTTTTCGTGAAAGTCGTCAAATTAAGAGGAAATGAATTTTTATTTTGGCGCATCCACCATTTTTAGATGAAATTTGAAAGTTGTTAAAATCTTTCAGGAAAATGTCTGTCTGAACCGAAATTTGTTCAGGATAATGAATCTGTCGTCATTTTTCCTATAGGTCGTCAAATAAAGAGAACATGAATTTTTGTTTGGGCGCCTCTACCATTTTTAGACGAAATAAAAAATTGTTGAAATCATTTGAAAAAAGCGTCTATCCAAAACGAAATATACTCAAAATCACAAATTTGGCATTGTTTTTCGTCTAGGTCGTAAAATTAATGAAAAACTAATTTTTATTTTAGTGCCTCCTCCATTTTTAGATGAAATTTGAAAGTTGTTAAAATCTTCCAGAAAAAAGTCTGTCTAAACCGAAATTTGTACAGGATAATGAATCTGTCGTCATTTTTCATATAGGTCGTCAAATAAAGAGAACACGAATTTTTGTTTGGGCGCTTCCACCATTTTTAGACGAAATCAAAAATTGTTGAAATCCTTTGAGAAAAGCATCTATCCAAATCGAAATCTAGTCAAAATCACAAACTTGGCATTGCTTTTCGTGTAGGTCGTAAAATTAAGGAGAAACGAATTTTTTATTTTGGCGCATCCACCATTTTTAGATGAAATTTGAAAGTTGTTAAAATCTTCCAAAAAAAAGTCTGTCTAAACTTTGTACAGGATAATGAATCATCACAAATTTGGCATTGCTTTTCGTCTAGGTCGTCAAATTAAGGAGAAACTAATTTTTATTTTGGCGCTTCCACCATTTTTAGATGAAATTTGAAAGTTGTTAAAATCTTCCAGAAAAATCTCTGTCTAAACCGAAATTTGTTCAGGATAATGAATCTGTCGTCATTTTTCCTATAGGTCGTCAAATAAAGAGAACATGAATTTCTGTTTGGGCGCCTCCACCATTTTTAGACGAAATCAAAAATTGTCGAAATTCTTTGAGAAAAGCATCTATCCAAACCGAAATATAATCAAAATCACAAATTTGTCATTGCTTTTCGTGTAGGTCGTAAAATTAAGGAGAAACGAATTTTTATTTTGCCGCCTCCACCATTTTTAGATGAAATTTGAAAGTTGTTCAAATCTTCCAGAAAAAAGTCTCTCTAAACCGAAATTTGTTCAGGATAATGAATCTGTCGTCATTTTTCCTATACGTCGTCAAATAAAGAGAATATGAATTTTTGTTTGGGCGCCTCCACTATTTTTAGACGAAATCAAAAATTTTGAAATCCTTTGAGAAAGCATCTATCCAAACCGAAATATACTCAAAATCACAAATTTGGCATTGCTTTTCGTGTAGGTCGTAAAATTCAGGACAAACGAATTTTTATTTTGGCGCCTCCACCATTTTTAGATGAAATTTGAAAGTTGAAATCTTCCAGAAAAATGTCGGTCTAAACCGAAATTAGTTCAGGATAATGAATCTGTCCAAATTTTTCCTATAGGTCGACAAATAAACGAAAAACGAATTTTTGTTGGGCGCTTCCACCATTTTTAGATGAAAGTCGAAAGTTGTTGAAATCCTTTCGGGAAAGCATCTATCCAAATGGAAATTTTCTCAAAACCACGAATGTGCCACTATTTTTCGTAAAGTCGTCAAATTAAGAGGAAATGAATTTTTATTTTGGCGCATCCACCATTTTTAGATGAAATTTGAAAGTTCTTAAAATCTTCCAGAAAAAAGTCTGTCTAAACCGAAATTTGTTCAGGATAATGAATCTGTCATCATTTTTCCTATAGGTCGTCAAATAAAGAGAACATGAATTTCTGTTTGGGCGCCTCCACCATTTTTAGACGAAATCAAAAATTATTGAAGTCCTTTGAGAAAAGCATCTATCCAAACCGAAATATACTCAAAATCACGAATTTGGCATTGCTTTTCGTGTAGGTCGTAAAATTAAGGAGAAACGAATTTTTATTTTGGCGCCTCCACCATTTTTAGATGAAATTTGAAAGTTGTCAAAATCTTCCAGAAAAAAGTCTGTCTGAACCGAAATTTGTTCAGGATAATGAATCTGTCGTCATTTTTCCTATAAGTCGTCAAATAAAGAGAACATGAATTTCTGTTTGCGCGCCTCCACCATTTTTAGACGAAATCAAAAATTTTTGAAATCCTTTGAGAAAAGCATCTATCCAATCCGAAATCTACTCAAAATCACAAATTTGGCATTACTTTTCGTGTAGGTCGTAAAACTAAGGAGAAACGAATTTTTATTTTGGCGCCTCCACCATTTTTAGATGAAATTTGAAAGTGGTTAAAATCTTCCAAAAAATGTCTGTCTAAACCGAAATTTGTTCAGGATAAAGAATCTGTCGTCATTTTTCCTATAGGTCGTCAAATAAAGAGAATACGAATTTTTGTTTGGGCGCCTCCATCATTTTTGGACGAAATCAAAAATTATTGAAATTTTTTGAGAAAAGCATCTATCCAAACCGAAATATACTCAAAATCACAAATTTAGCACTGCTTTTCATGTAGGTCGTAAAATTAAGGAGAAACGAATTTTTATTTTGGCTCCTCCACCATTTTTAGATGAAATTTGAAAGTTGTTCAAATCTTCCAGAAAAAAGTCTGTCTAAACCGAAATTTGCTCAGGATAATGAATCTGTCGTCATTTTTCCTATAGGTCGTCAAATAAAGCGAACATGAATGTTTGCTTGGGCGCCTCCACCATTTTTAGACGAAATAAAAAATAGTTGAAATTCTTTAAGAAAAGCATCTATCCAAACCGAAATATACTCAAAATCACAAATTTGGCATTGCTTTTCGTGTAGGTCGTAAAATTAAGGAGAAACGAATTTTTATTTTGGCGCCTCCACCATTTTTAGATGAAATTTGAAAGTTGTTCAAATCTTCCAGAAAAAAGTCTGTCTAAACCGAAATTTGTTCAGGATAATGAATCTGTCGTCATTTTTCCCATAGGTCGTAAAATTAAAGAGAAACGAATTTTTTTTGGCGCCTCCACCATTTTTGCATGAAATTTGAAAGTTGTTCCAATTATCCCGGAAAAGTGTCCATCTAAACCTAAATTTTCTCTGAATGACAAATATGTCATCAAGTAAGGGAAAAA